CATCTGATTCACATATATGCATAAATGGTTTCTGGAGGAGCACGCCTTAGTACAATCATATCAACCTAAGGAACTGGCGTACAGAAGCCAATTTCAAACATAGGCTTCAACAGCAAATTACACACACACACAAGCATGACTCTTTAATAAGCAACAAAAGCCTAGAACAATGGGATATTTTGAGCACCCTTTAAATTCTGCAAACACCGAAAATCTGCATTGAATATAACATTCAGTCTTTTGGGGAAATGCTGTTTTTATATCTAGTGTGTTAGTCAACAATTGCAGCACTGCTTCTCCCTGTTCTCTGAGAGATCCTGCAGTGTGCCTTCTCTCCCGGATTACATAACCTGTGGAATGCAGATCGAGGACACGACTGATGATCCTTCTGTAATTAAAGCTCCCTAATGCTGCCAACACAATTTCTACACAAAGAGCTAGGTATAAAGTGCCGTGCCCTTTCCTGAGCCCTTACAATCTCTTATGCAGGCAGCAATCACAAGCCATTAGAGAGAAAGAAAGAATATAATTTATTTGTACTTTTGGGAGGAAACTGGAAGATATTACTCAGCTCATTTCGAAATTGGTGATGTCTTTATATATCCAGCACATTCTTACACAAGTTCCCCCAAAGGTATTCACCAACAGTCACAGCAGATTCTAAGGTTCAGCCTAAAAATTAAATCACTTAAAAAAAAAAAGTAAAAGGCTGATGATTTTACCAACATTTTAAAATATAAACCAAAGGAAGCTTATTTCTGCCTCACCATGCTCTATCCTTAAAGCTGGAAGCAACAGATTTGAGAGATCTCAGTATTTAAAAGATGAAGCCTGTTTGTTTGCATGGTAATTGACTTGCATAGTTCATTTATAATAATCAATCACTAGCAAAGCCGCTGCAAAATGAACAATCCTTGAATACAGATTATGTAGAATATTAATTTCAGTAGTAATTGGGTACTTGGAGGCTTGCATGTAAAGAGGCTAATGTATTATACATCTCACATTATGCTGCAAGAGGTTAGAGGACTTGGAAGCCTTACAAGACGGAAACCATAAAATGTGCATATTGCATTACCAAGAGGGAAAACACAGACTGAATTTCTAAGACACACAGACTTTAGATCTTCCCAGACAAACGTAGGGGAAAAGTGGACAGCTTACCCTGTAAAGCCACTCCTTGAAATCAAACCCACCATATCTGGACTTTTTAAACTTCTAGAAAAAAGTTACAGAAGTAGTTACAACGTAATACTTCAGCCCACAGATTATTAACATGTACTGAAATGGAAGTTTCCTTCTCTTACAGATAAAGGGAACTGAAGAGATATATGTAGTGCTGGTTTAATCTATGAATAGTTTAAAATAACCACTCCCAGGCAAAAAATAAATAATAATAATAAAAAAAAACAACACCACCCAAACAAACCACCCACCACCCAACCTTTCTTAGCACCTTCAGTGCATTTTGCATTTTTTTTAAAAATCTTCACTCTCAGTCTTTCAGCCCAAGCTGAATTCTCCTATGGAACCAAGTCAGCAGTTCAATAGGAAAAAAGGTATCCCCGGTTCACGTGTGCAGGTGGACAAAGCTTTTTGTGTATGAATTCATCCCCATTCTTTTATACTCCACGTTGTAGAGGTATAGTACGCTAAAGGACACCTACTAATTTTGAAGAAACAGCTAGAAAGTTACGAGGATCTGTTTATGACAATAGCTGTACACAGTTAGGATCTCTCTGCTAAGGGCAATTGGCAAGTTTTGTAGAAAAAGGTAAGAAAAAACAAAGCTTAGTAAGTTCAGGTAAACGAAGACCAAAGATTTCATATATCAAAATTTCTTTTAGTCACAAGGATGAGCTTAATAAGTAAGACTATACATGATCATCTTCAATGTACAGCTGAGAAACTAGACCATATAGCACAAGATAAAGTTCCTTTAATTTTAATAAGGGAACTATGAAAGTAACTAGAGGCCTCAAGTACTTGAGGTTTTAAACTTTACAAACATCACCACAAAAAAGTAACCAAGCAATACAGACTTTCATCTGTGTATGACCTAAATAGTGCACATACAACAGTGCTTGTGGAAACACCAGAACACGGCCACAAGGACCATGGCAGGATGTTCTGTCTGGCTGCAAGCTGTTGCATCCAGAAGGATACACACCTTCTGAGGGTCTTGTGTTAACACCTGCCAGTCCTATGCAGATGTCAAAGAATAAGGGAGGAGATGTGAAACTGCATCAAACCCCTATGTGCTAACATCTGAGTGTCACCTGAAGATATTCAATCTGTTTTATGACTAACTTCTGAAAACACAATTAGATTTAACCATTCATCTGAGCACCTGAACACCTAAAAGTCACTATTTCCATTCAATGAAAAGCTATGGATGTGGTCATCACAACTGCAAGTATGGCTAAGTATGAGCTGTTTTTAAATCTGCAGGTACATGTATTCATCACAAACAGTGCTGTATACCCCAAGTGAAGAATGACTTCATATCAAATCATACATGGATATTGTAACCAGCTCCATCGTTTTCTTCCGACGCTGGTTCCTTGGTAAGTCTGTCTTCTATGTTGGTGCTCTAAATACCACTTTTTTTCTTCTGTTTGCCCTCCCAGAAGGTGGTGATCCAAGAAACACCTTAGGTAACTTGGACACACATTCTATATCAAGGTACACATTTTTTGAGGAGATGGGAGTCAAGAAAGAACAGCATTTCAAAACACTGCCTTCTCCTCTGCCTCAGAAACCAACAGCTTACTTAAAAACTAATTCTAGAGCAGTAAACCACCAGAAACATGGCTGCCACTGAACTATTTCCATAACAACACATCTAAAAAAGACACACAATGCAGTGTACTTAAACATACTTCTCCCTCCATGGCTCAGGGCAGTTAGCTTAATACAGGAAAATTAAGATACTTTCTAGGTTTGAAAACACTGAAAACCACCAAAGGCAGCCGACTGACCACCTGGGCTCCACAAAGGATACAGTACTTACCTTTAGAGAACATACTTTATTTAATAGAATTTTTTTTTCCTCCAATATACAAAATAAAGGACTGTAGTCCCCATTAACATTTACATAGTTACACAGCAAATAATTTCCACCATTTACAACAACCAACGACTTTCCAACACTCCCCACTGTATTACAGCCAAGAAAAAAATCTCATAATGCTTTACACATCAATTAGTTATATTTTGTACTTCCCTGTCTCTTTTCATTTCTTTAAATTGTAGTTTCTGATCTTTGTTTAATTATTAACTTACAATTCTTTCAGCTGCACTAAAAGAAAAATTAAATACATAATTTGGAATACTATCTCAAAATCCCTAAGCAAAAATAAAAGTCAGTATCTTATAAAAATATATAGCAGGAATAAAACCAGTGAAAGAACAAAAATGTTTTAAATGTTGTTAGGGTATAAAATATTTAGCAACCAGCCTCAGCTTTTAACTACACCAAAAAAAGAAAAAGAAAAAAACCACCAAAACCCCAAACATTTTCAATTTGCAAAAAGTAATGTGATAGTTCTTTCATAATACTGTACCTTTAGTATGCAAAGGACTTCATCCTTCTAACATGCATCATTATCCAACCAATTCACCTCTTAAACCTTTTTCCCACTGAAAGCTGATAAAAGGTTTTAAAATTCTTTCAATCCTTTAGAAAAATCCAATCATATTTTCTGTATCTCCCACAATATTTAAGCTTTACTTTACAATGCTGGTAGTTTAATCATGATTTATAACTTTCTATAAAAGGATTTTAGCCAAACTAAGGCTTTAGAAACTGCATTTTACAAAAGCAATTTGTTAACAGTATGACAGTTGCTAAATAGCCCAATTTATTTAGAGACCCTGTTAAAGATTTGTTCAACTGAGTGAATAGGTGAAGTCATTTCCTGAGCTAAAAGATACAGGTAAGCAAATAGTCAGTTATAGCAGCAGACAGGAGACATTCTTTTTAGAAGTTGTAACAATATCAGTAAAACAGCTTTAGAAAATTACAAGAATGTAAAAATCACGTGCTGAAGAGGGAGTGACAAGGACATCCAAGACCTGATTGCCATAATCTGGAATGCACATCCCATGACTTTCCAGAAATTACATTCAGCTACTGTCAGACAACGTACTGGTACACTGAAGAATGTCAAATCACAATAGTTCACATTTCTTACAGATCAGATGTTTTGTCAAGGTTTAATTCTTAATGGTGTTTCATAAACCTAAAGCAAGGTAAACTCCCTAGTTTCAGAAATTTTCACTTTACGAGACTTAAGTACTATTCATTTTAAAGGAATGTGGTATCTTCAGTCTCATGGAACTCCAAGCCTATTTCTTCTTATTACTCAAATGGAATTTAAACCTTGAGTGTACTTGAGACAGTCACCCAAGTCATTTGGAACAAAAGTGGATCCAATCTTAGGAGAGGGAATAGTATCCTTGAAATGGTTTACTTTGATCCAAACCATTCTAATTTGCTTAGAGTATGAACCCTTAACAAATTATTGAAGAACTGTAAAGACCAGGACATTACCACTGCACCGTCATGTTCTTAAGATATGCAGTCTTAAAAAGTCGTCTACCTAAGAGTTTGATCACTTTATTTAATTAAATACAGTACCTCACTAGGATACCAGGTCCTCCAGAAGGAAATCTCTGTTCCGTGCTACTCCTTTTTACAGATATTGTAGGCATTGTTTTAGAATTTATAGTGGCTCTTCTTTAGCATTTAAACATAATTAGTTTCAATTAAAATTAATATATGAAATTTCCAATACTTGTTAGAATAAAGGAAAATACACAAGATCCTAAGTTACAATAATTTATAAATAAAAATAAGCCATTACAAACCAAATCTTTCCCCATAGGGAGATTAAAAGCCATAATCTGGACTGATTGTTCCCGACCATACGCTGTAAGTAACGTAAGCTTCTTCAGAGAAGCAAAACAAACCTGCCTCCCCGACACCAGTCTCTATCTTCAGTTAAACTACTACCATCAAGAAGGCAATTGTGTTGGGCCCAGATGTATCTTCTTCCTTACATGGTAACCTTCCCAACCTCGTTCCTTTAAAGTCAAGCACAGGAAACTAAGTTCACAAAGAGTCCTTTACCTTTAATACACAAAGTCTGTATAAAATACAGATTTCTAATGCTCCTATTGCACCAGCCTGGCAGTGCAGTTAGAACCTGATTCAAATTCTACTGAAGTCCATAAAAGGTTCTCCAGTGACCTTAATGGGCTTTGAATTAGGACCACAGAGATAGTACTACCTAATGGAAAGCTCCTGCAAGAGTGGCTGGTGTCTCTCTTTTTGCTTATGGGATGCAGTGGAGATGGGTAGTCAGCATGATACCTGAGCAAATAAAATGAAAACGATACAAAGGTTTTAAGAATCCCAAACTCTTTGCCTAGTTGTGTGCAAACTGTGCTACTTCCCCTGGAGCTCCCTGCTTTCCTTTTTTTCAGTGCTTGCTCCATTCCAAGATAGTGAAGATGCGAGGCATGAAAATCTCTCTTCTCTAGTTCCCTCTCAATCCCGAGACTGATAGAAGAGGATGTAGCCAGACTCAGAGTTCTTTGAGATGTCTGATGTCAACCCGTAGAATTCTTCAATAGCTTGTGCATCAATTTTCTGTGTGTATAAAAAAGCAAAAATTTAAAGTAAGAATATTTAGTGAACATTGGAGTTCCACTCTAAAAACTACTGTTAAACAAAACCAACTTTCACATATCTACATAAAGAAATACAATGCAAATAATTCTTCAACTTGTCATGTTTTGGTTCCGCCCCCCCCCCGCCATCAACTTCACAGAGGGTAGTGACTGTATATATTTTACATATCATTTTTTTAAGTATAGAGTGCATCTACTACTGAGTGCTATCTTATGTGCATTGCTTGTGGAAATTCCACATAGAAAAGTTTTAAAACACAAGAATAACAAATGAGGAGGTTGTGCAGTCTCCTTCTCTGGAGATTTTCAAAAGCCACCTGGATGCGTTCCTGTGTAACCTGCCCCAGGTGAACCTGCTGTAGGAGGAAGGTTGGACTACATGCTCCCCAGAGGTCCCTTGCAATCCCTACCATTCTGTGATCCCACAGAGACTTCAAAGCAATATAAAGTATGTAAGTACAAGCTTTCATTTCTAAATATAAGCAGTGTAAGCCAATCAAGTAAAGAGACAATAAGGAGAAGGCAGAGAATGAAGACTAACTTTTTGTATTTTTCACACAAAACATTTGCTTGTGATCCCATTAGCATAGAAAGCCTTCTATAACTAAGACTTTTTGGGAAAAGATGCAAAACTTCTGTAGAGAAGGTGGAAAGAGTATTGTCTGTTCCTCATCATCATCACTTTCAGGTACAAAAGAAACAAACTGAAAGCAAGCTCTCTTGTCACATTTTCAATCAAAGACAATTAGGCTACAAACAACAAAAAGGTGGAACATTATGTTTTCCTTCACTTGGGCAGATTTTATTTAATCTCATACCCATTCTTTGGAATAAATCTCTCTCAGGAAGGAGTGTGCCAATCCAAATTGATGAACCACGGGCCTAAAAGTCAATGAGATGTTTTAGATTTAAGAACAAAAAGATTCCTTCCTTCCTCTTTAGAAGGGCTTAGGGAAAAAAAACTAATGAGCAGCACTGCCAGGTGCTACTGCTTTGGAACTGGAGAGATTGTCCCTGACGTTTGTGAAATTATATGAGTTCTACTACAGCTCTCTGTTTTCCCTGGAGGAAGGTGAACTTTTGACCTTATCGAGACATTTCAATTTTCTGTGTATCTTGATAAGACACAGAGGCAATCCTTTTACTTTCCTAACAGCTCTGTATACTTCCATGTCTGTCATTTTCTGTGTGAAAACCCATCCATAATGTGGCTTGGAGATAAGAATTCTTCAATATCCTCAACTTGGCCTGCCAAGTAACAATCAAAGTCCAATACCTGTCTCTTTTTTCCCCTTTTTAATTAGGCAGTTGTGCACTGTAAAGAAAAGCTAAGTTATTAATTTTATAGATTTAATTAATTAAAGTCAAGAAAAAGATTTGGACAGCACAATCATCTGATTGTATCAGACTGACCCATTCCATTAAATCATAAGCTCCTAGAAAATACAAACAAATGGCTTACACCAAAAAATTGCCCTCAGAAAGGAGTTGCAGTAGAACTGATTTATCTTTACCTTCATTTGCCATGTCCTCTGGCCACAGGAACAGCATATTAAACAAAGGTGACAGACAGTGGCCAAACACAAAGAAGCTTCTTTTAAGAAATATAAAACCAAATGCAGTTCAGTGTATCATACTGTTGCATTGTATGGTGCAGCTCTGCACTCACAGATTTAGACTGGGGTTGGAGCCTCTTTTTATCAGCATACCAGTCCTTTTACTTTAAGTAATCATACACACAAGGTGCATGCAGGCACTCGGGTTGGTAGAAGAAAAAAGTCCATGGTTACACAAAGCTTACCTCAACGATATCATCATCAAAAAGCAACCAAAAATCATGACTCTTCACTATTGCAATATAATGTCCTCTGTTAGGGCCACTGTAAAATAAAATTAGAAAAGGACACAGACAGTGACACACAAATATGTAGAAACATATTTCTTTTTTTTTTTCTTGTAGAAAAGTAATACTTAACAGTAATTAAAAAGCCTACCACCACAATTTCTGTTTTGATGTTTCTTTTCTCCTCCCCCCTCCCCGCTTATATCATCCTTATAAGGTATTACTTATCTCTACATTTAATATTGTGCTAAAAAAAAGGATTATAATTTCAAACAAGGAAGAAGCAGCACAAGCACTGAAAATATGCGTGATTTAAAAAAAAAAAAAAAAAAAAAGTCAGAGAAGGGAAACCAAGAAAACATTCTGATGTTTCATAGGGACAGAAGAGATTCCAAACTACTTCTGATCTTCAGAAAGAAAAGCTGTAGAGCTGCTGTTCATCTACAGTCCTCATCAGGCATCTCTTTATCTGGTCTACTGCAAACAAAATCTGAATTAAACTGACAGTTTAGAAGTCTCAAGAATGCTCACAGCAATGAGAGGAGCTTCCAATTAAATTAAACCTGCTAAAATGCACAGCTCTTCAGTTTACAGCAGACAAGAAATTGCTCCACAACAGAATCTATGACACAATGTGACACTTTAAATGTCCTACTTCTAATCAGATTTCAAGTCAGGCAATATGACACTTTTGGAAACAGCTGAACCTTACAACTGAAAGTGGACTAGTTTGTTGTGGAACTGCCTTAACTGTCTAACTGCATTGATACGATTTTTATGTCTAGACCAGGAAGGGAAGGTTGCCACCTGTGATGGGCATGTCTGTACCACATCACAAAACTCAATGCAAACAGGGTTCATTTCCTGCCATGGTTCTGAAAATGGGCAAGTTTCTAAGACTGCAGCTTGAATGAGGGAGACAGAAAGGGTCAGAATTGGACAGAATAGATTTTCTCTGACGTCTAAAACAAGAGTTGATCCAGAAAACTACGGCACAAAGGCTTATTTTCCAAAACTGTCCTGGCCAACTTGAGTACTAGTTGTCCTAATCCTACTGTAATCCTAGGCCTACCTAGGGAGGAGTGGGGGAGTGGATGGAACAAAGGGCAGTGACTGGCAACTAGAGGGCAAGTCTGCCATTTTGAGGGACATAAAAATGTTGGAAGAATGGACTGGTAAGAACCTCATGGAGTTTAACAAGTACGAATGCAAAGTCTCATGCCAGACTAACTCCATCCAGCATCAACTGCAAACCAACTGGCTAGATGGGCCCAGGAGGTCACCAAGATGAGCTGTTAGCCAGCAGCATGTAATTTTGGCGACGTGGCTGAGCGCACGTGGGGCTGTACTGCAAGAACAGAGCCAGCAGTGAAGGGATCATCCCTGCCACTCTGCATTCTGGGGCCCAGAACTGGACATAGTATTACACACATGACCTTTCCTGTATAAAGGAGAGACAGATAAACTGGAGGAAGTCCAGTTGTGGGTCACTACATTTGTCAGAGAGCTATAGCACCAGATGGGGGAAGAGAGGCTGAGGGAGCTGGTTTTATTTAGCCTAGAGAATATTAAATGAGAAATTCAACTGTTGTCTTCCACTACCCAAAAAGAAGGAGTTATAAAGAAATCAGATCCAGGCTCTTCTCAAAAATGCACAGTGAAAGGACAAGTGGCAGTGGTCACAAACTGCAGCAAGAGAAATTCTAACCAGATACAGGAAAAAAAAAAACAACAAAACACCAAACAAATTCATTGTGAGAACATTGATGGACTGGAACAAATTGCCCAAAGAGGCAGTGAAATCAGCACTCCTAGTCATGAAAATCAGCCCACTGCAACCTAATCTAATGTCAAACTTAGCCTTGCTTTGATCTTCAAGTACCTGACCTCACAATGTAAATTATTCTGTGATTATAGATGTTAAATCATCATTTTGACTCTGGGGCTTTTATCTACTCAACAAGAGTTTGTAGAGCATCCCTGGTTTTAAGACTTGAAGTCAAAAGAACATTTGTTGAATACAGCAAAATGAAATACAATTTTAACAGTCCTATTTTGAAAGCATGGAAAAATGTAATCAACAAACCTCAAAGCAATCCACAAACCTAATAACACAGGGATGTATTTCAGAAAAAGTTGCTCAAGCTTTAAAATAAAAAAGGACACCCTAAAGGAAATGTCTTATAAAGAAATCTGCTCTATAATGCTTTCCTACCTAAGAATTTTATTTTTAAAAGGATCTTTAAATATTACTAGAGTTATATGACATTGTGTGTTTGATAGTTTGTGGTTTTTCTTAAACATAGTTAAATTCCTACAAATATCTGTGATGTGTACACTGTTATCCCTCTGAACACAACGAACTACCACAGCAACAAAGCTGCATGTTCTGTCAGGTAACATCTCCCCACAATGCTTTCTTCCTAAGAAACTTCTTTTAAGAGGTCTTTAAATGCTGTTAAGAGTTCTGTGATACTGGGTGCTTTGTTTTGTTTTTTAAAAGATAATTACACTTACACAAAAATACCTTGCATAAAATAGAGTTATTACCTTCCACAATGAACTACCACAGCAACAAGGTCATACATTCTGTCAGGATTGGTGGCATCTCCTGAGGTGTTAAATAAACGAAGCTCTAAAGGAAAAACTACTCTATAAGAGAGTTTTGTGTATCGATGCAGCTGATCCATGTATTTAAATCTCTTCAAATGGAGAGCTAGAATCATAGGCAGCTTTTTTACTTTCATCCTGAAAAAAACAAAAACAAAACCAAGCCCAACAGTATTTCCAATATCCATCCAAAACTTTTGGTTGATATCAAAAACCAGGAAACCTGTTTTACTGAAGTCTTGAAAAAAATCTGCAAGCATTAAAAGAAGCTCAAATAACCAGCTGTTTAAAAAAATATCCTGTGTTACTAAACTAAAGGTGAATTTTAATTGAAAATTACAAATGTATTTAAAATAATAAGCTGTAATATATAGTAAGAACAGCCAGAGGAACCCACATAATTTGGAGATAATGACTGCATAGCACAGAATTCCATTTTTAAGCAAACCTACACATAGCTTTCCTGAGCTCCCAAATGCAAAACCTAGATCTCAGCTGACATACAGTGGAGATACTGCAGCAAAGTTGTTCTAGACATCCTGTTCTACTTGAATTTCTTATCCAACCGGCCAAGACAAGGAGACTTAAGCTTTGTTATGCCACTTTGTTATATATGTATTAGTCCAAGTTTTCATATCAAATCATTCATTTAACACTGCCAAGGGATACAAATAGCCCACTGCTACTCACCTTATACCTCATGCTACCCAAACAAGATGATGCTGTGCTCTAACACAATAATTTTGTACAAATGCTGCAGCATTACTTGAAGGCAGTCGAAGTCAGAACGTGATAATCTAGTTTTACTGAGGGCTCACTGGCCCCTTTCCCTAGTTTGAGGTATTGAGATCTTGCAACAGTGCCTACAAATCCTCACTGGCCAACCACAGCTGGCCTGGCAGCAATCACACACTCTCACTCTCTGGGCAATAAATTTGCCCATACTAACAAGGCCACCAAGACAGAGTTCTCTGCTTCCTGGCACAGCCAATTGCCTTAGATCAGCACCATGCTCAGTTCTTCAAATCACCTCCAACCCAAAAGGTATCTCAAAAGTCTTGACAAGACAGCCCACATTTCAGACATATCTACTGAGACCACATTTTCAGAATGTCAGGAGATATGTTGGTATAATACAATCCTTTTTCAAAAGAGAGGGGGTAGGGACAAAATCCTTGAAAACTCACCTTTCCTTCCCTTTTTCTCATTTAACTTAGACTGATAGTAACCTACAGGTAACCTTGCTAGACTCAAATTTTCTCCATGGCCAACACGGGAACCAGGAAATGAAAACAAAACAAAACAAAACAAAACAAAAAAAAAAAAAAAAAGGGAAGCAGGATGACAACCAATAATTTATAGGGAGAGTTACATTTTTATTGTGTTACTGAAATATGGATATGATTTCTGCTGTTTCTTTTTTCAAAATTAAGACCTCTTCCTCTAATGCAGCTGTGTTTGACAACAGGAGCTCTTTCAATGATAAAGAAATTCAGTATACCACATTTGCTTGCTGAGGCAACACTATAAAAGATAAAGTCCATACACAGTGATAGAAGAAAATTATGGCTATAGTGAAACTGAAGTCCCACATGAGAAGCAAAATATAAACAATAAAAGCTGTGTTTTGCCAATATGGCAGTGCCTACAGTACAGGTTTATGTCAACACAGCTTATACTGGTCAGGGATCACATTACCTCCCACACAGAAAAAGAGCCAAGGGAACAGAAAACAACAGGACAGACCTGGCTTCACAACGCTCTAATATACACCTGTTAATAAGCTTAGGCAACATGTGAGGGCAGGCCCTGCAGATGAGATAAGCCAAAAGCCATGTGCTCAACCTATGGTGAGCCAAATAACCAGGATCAGTGGTATAACCAGTAAAGCATGTCAGTGTTCCCAGCCCTTCAACCAAACACTTTCTCAGGTGATAAAATACCACAGCACACAAAATCAGAGGTTTTTCAATGGTGTAAACAAGACCAGAAGAATTATTAGGCAGACAATAATTGGTTTTAAACATAATGAATTTCCATGGAGCTTCTGATGCTCACTGTCAAGCAGAAGTTTAACACAACTACACACATTTAAGAAACTATGAATGGAATTAAAAAAACAGCTACAACCCTCATTGTGACTGAATCAGAAGAAAGTGCTATCAAATGGATTTTTACTGAATTTTACAGCAGTAGGAAAATTTATGTTATTATCAAGACAAAACTAAATTTAAATATTCAGAGGAAGTTAGTGACTTTTCATAATTACCCATAATCTTTTATTGTCACTGGTGGTTTGTTTTAACTTGTCTTTTTAACTTATTTTTGGTCTTAAGATCAAAACCTCGTTTGTAAAATAAATAACAATCAAAGGTGCTCCAAAATGCTTTATGTGGATTCTCGTCACTCATGGAAATAGGCTCGCTGAATTCAAGCAAGAGGAATGCAATCAAGTTACTCTTAAGTGGAAGAAGAGTGAGAAAAATCAAGGGAAAAAGAACGTTCTCCCCCACCTCATAGACACAGAAGGAAATACAAGAGTATTTTCATGAAATGCACGGGTTGCTTTTTTCCCTCCCCGAGTGCAATGTACCTTTTATGTGCTTCTTGTTTACTGCGACATTCTTCACAGTAATATTTGTATTCACTGCACAGAGTTTCTGTATTGCTGAAACCCCTGAATAAAAAAAAAAGATAAATGCTAGAGATACTAAATTTCTTATCTGAAATGGACATATAAACATGCACGATATAAACATAATTTTATACTCTTAAATCTACATAAGCTTAGAATTTCCTAAGCTTCTGTGCTTTTTATTTTACTTCCTGCTTGCTAGGTAAAACATAAAAAACATTCCAAAAATTCAGATTTTTGTGTCTACCTTAAACAGTGAGTGATTGAAGTATTCTGTTCCACATCAACTGAAAGGTCTAAGAAGTCTTCATCTTTGCTGCTTATCTGCATGAAAAAAGAATCAATAAATTATAGTTAAAACAAGTTATTTACCTCTAACAACTAATTTACCTCTGTTTTTCAGTACCATTTCCTACTGACAGAATGCATCTTTTACCTTATAACAGCCTTTTAAAAATTGTTACAGATGGCATTTCTATTTCAGATATTTGCTAGATCTCATTTCTGCTTTTGTTCAGGAAGAAGGAAGTCTATACGTGTGGAAGTATATAATGCCAGTTATCAGCATGCTGTGATTTCAGCTCAACAATATTAATGCCAAGTTCCTCCCAACACCTCACTCTACAAAGGAATACAATCACTGGCATTCTTTTATTTAGGGCTCTTATCTCTGTTCTCCCCCTATGTCTCCCTTCAACTGAAAGTTATGTATTTGCATAGCACACTGTCCTTACTAAACAGCACAAATACTTTGAAGCCTCTTCCTGGCTAGATTCATACTCTTAACTGAGCAGCAGACAGTAAATTTGTTGGTAAACATGAGGCTGGGATTTGGTCTGATAGAGACAGAATAGCACATAGCCATTTCGTACAAAAATGCAGGAATACTAATTAAAGTAAAAAAGGAAATCCTAGAAGCAGAGAATAAATTCTGTCACAAATCCTGGGAAATAGTGATGAACAAAATCCACAGCTGCACTGAAAAACAATTATTAAAAGGTTTGGGAAATAGTAATGTGCAACCTTAACTCTTGTCTGTTAGTGTTTCCTCTCTGTATCTAGAGATACTCAGTGCCACTGATGAGAACATCCTCTGCTTTTATGACTCCTAGGTACAACAGTAAGTGCTTTCAGAAAAGGTGCTTGGCTGAAATTTTTTGACTGAAAGCATGGAAAGTTAAACAGCTACAGGAGGGCTAATGTAAGCTGATCTTTAAAATATACGAGATATACGTTCCCTTCTCAACTCAGAATTAAAATAAATTTGGAAAGTTGTTCTCTGATTGTTGAGACAAGAAACACACAGAATAAAAAGAAAAAATACAGGGGGTCAAGACAAATCTTTTTGAGAATTAATACCATTGAGCAAATCAAAAAACTTACAAAAAGCTTCTGATAGTATTTGTGAGAGGACTGGGCAACTATTCCTTCCAGTTTTCCTGTAGCTAATCTCTCAAAGAATTAAATGTATATGTACAAAAATTACGTTGCCATGCCAGTATACATCACATCTGTTACATCATTTAGATGCTGAAGTGTAATGTTTATACTTTTAAAGGGATCACGAAGCATATATGGAAAAATTCCAAGATGTTTGTAGAGTGGGGGAAAAAAAGGCACCTTCAGTGCATCTTTACTGTGCTGCACATTTCCTGTCTTCAGGGATGTATCAATGTTTAGGGGTGTCGGCAATTCATCAAAATATCCCACTGCAAACCACTTCTGGAATTATCAAATTTGAGTTTATAACATTAAGAACTCTGGTGGAAATCATCTTAGCCTAGGGATTAAGAATGGCTCAAAAAAAACCCCCACATCAGTTCTAGAAAATATTCTGCTGCACTCTTCAGCTAGGACAGCTAGAATTAAGGAGTCTCGTAAGCAGTGTTATTCAGACATGCAGTTAAATAATTCTCCCTTTTTTTGCTCTAATCAGAGCAAATTCCATGAACCAAAGATTTCACAAGCAGCTTTATCCCATGCAGAAGCTGTAATGGGGGGAGGAAAGGGGGAAGAGGAAAGGGATGTGTTATACTTGGTTAATAAAAGGGATTCTTCCACTCTTTGTGATAATGCTGGAAACCTTTGTTTGCTGAGAGGGAACCTCTCAGGTAAGCCAGTCTGCTGTGCTCTTAGGATCATGAGGAACTCTTAAAGGTTTTATTGAAGGAATAGCCAAATGGATTTTTTTCCATGTCTGATAATTTAGAAATAGCTATTCTTAATTTTGAAGATTTTTTTTAACATTAGTATTTGAACAGTACACGAAAAAAAAAAAAGGAAAATTATTAAGAAGTCCACCTCCACTCTAACCATCCCACCCCTCCTCTTTGGCAGAGGTTCTGTTTCAAATAAATGCCACTAAGCTCCTTAGACTAAAGTCACCAATGCTACATATTTCAATCACCTATAGGATGAAAAGAAGATGGACAGTCAGAAAGCCTCATCACTTGCAGAATTCAAGTCCTGATGTGCTCAATGTGTTCAAAAAGCCATCTGAATAACAGTTAGGAATTTGGATGTTCTCAGTTAAGGGGGATGGTATGATGTTCTCACATCAAGGGCATAATCTGCACTCAAACAGCTCAGCTGTACTCTGTTTTCTGAACAGAACAGAAAACTCAGAAGGCTAATTCATGGAATCTGTATTTACTTCAGTTTGGAATTTCACTAGAAATGTGAATCTGCTGTCTAACAAAAACAAACAAACAAACAAACAAACCCACAACTTTTGCCACTTTAGGTTCCCATGTGTGCCAAGACAGAAACTGTCTTTAAATGAAGCTGAAACAAAGGGCATGACTTATCTTGGTTTAAAAAAAAAAAAAAGGTGATAAAAAGTAGGGCATAGTTTAAGTATCTTTAGTACTCCTTTAAGAGACACAACTGAGATTTTCCTTACCACCTTCTCTCAGTCCAAAGCAGAATTGAGCCAAATAACTTTTTGCTTTCTAGAGTCATTTGAATACAAAAGTAAGACCATCAGCTGGAGGAAAACATTATTAAATACGTTTGGTGCTTTTGACCCATGACAATTTCCCATTTTTCTCTGTGGAAGTACTGCCCACATTTAGCTATTTCAAATTTCGTTTTAACAAAGTCAGTTACATTATTTTCTGGTTTACTGCTATTCTCTCCTTAAATTGTGAGAGAAATCTGTAAAACCAATGAACTTCTAGATAATTTTTATCAATGAGACACAAAAATTTGTAACATTAACTTCACCATATTGCCTGTATCAAGGAAGGGGGGAAAGCATCATAACAAATTACATCAAAAGCATGTAAAGACAATTTACAACCAATTTTGTAACTTTTTCAATTTGTATTAATAACAAATTGTGTTAAATCACTATAAATATTTGTTAAATTAAATGTATCTATGTTCCTCATATGCTACCATCCACACTTAAACTGAGGATAAACTTTTAGTCAGTTAATTTTTTATCTTAAAGACAGGCTAATAAGACAGTATGTCCTGGAAAGAAGCTCTTTTCTATAATCAGGACATTTGAAATTAGAATAAAATCTTGCCATGCTGGTTTTAAGAACATTGAGTAGGTTTGGCTAATTAGAACATAACCATTCTCACTTAGAGCAAAGATATATTATGCTTTATTTTTAAGGATGCATTAAATTTGAAATTTAAATTAAAAATATACTATGGTTATTGTGTTGCCATTAAGCAGCACTAATTCATCCACTATTGCTCTGTAATCTTCTACATGAGCTATATACAAGTACTCCTGATATTTTCAGTTAAATTTTTAACCACAGAAAGACTCTAAAAGCCAACAGTATTATTCCAATAAACATTAAAACAATCATATATGCACACAATATTTGAAAACAAGACACTATTCAAAGTAATATTAATTAATATCTCTGTATGTGCTTCTGAGCACTTATTTCCAGATCACTGTCTTTTAATTAGACACAAACTGATATACTGGATATATGGAAACTGATAAAATAGTTTCCAGATTATTAGGGCTTGGAAAACAAAGGCCCTAATATACTAAAAAAGAAAAGTGTATTAGAACACTGGATTGAAATTCAGCTGTCCAAGGCAGCATAGTGGCAAACACATATGGTGTATCCTCTTCAGCAACAGCTAACACAAAACCAGAACTAAGCAATATTACTAGAATTCTGAAAATTGTGATAGACCTGGTAACTAATGAAATATGCTGGTAAAGATCCTATCAGCATTTTCAAACTGTACTAAAACTGCACCCAGATGAAAATCCTGACAGCAGTAATTCACTATGCCAAATTGAGGAAAGGTAACGATGTCAGTCATGTTGAGAGACTAGGCTAAACTCACGTTTCAAGAAGAAAAAAGTCAGTTCAAGAACCAAAAGAGAAGCCATTGACAGTTGCCATGAAATAGTTATTAGGGAGGAGAAATCTACCAGTAAAGAAAATATGGTATCTAGACATCACCATCTAATTACTCAAAATACCATGATCTATTAAGTTTGCAGTTACATTACATACGGCATTAGGAACCTATGAGAGAGAGGTATTTCTAGAAGAGAGAGAAAATTATATATGAAATATATAGATTTAATCAGATTAATTCTTTCTGTCCAACATCATGCTGAAATAGGTGCATTACCTAATTAAGGAAAATAGGTATGAAGAATGATACAAAAAGTGGTCATTTAGTTTTTACATACAATATCTAAGGCATAAACCATGACAGAATTTCTCTAATTTTCAAATTGTGCTTTTTTTCTCTCTCAGGTGAAATTTAATTTTAAATTTTTCGGAAATACATGATTTCTCTTATTGTAGAAGTGTTCTCAAAAGAAGATTCTAGGTATAGCTTAACCAAGGAGTTAATTTCTCAGTCTAGTATGAGAAATCCTGTGGACAGACATTTAGGAAAGGATTACTTTTCCTGCACATTAAGTTATGTTCTTTGAGAATCCCAGCATACTGTTTCAGTGCCAAAAGCCAACCATAGTATCTTGATTTCAGTGGCTTTAAATTTTAAACATAGAAATCGGAGGAAACTGATTCAGAATACTTACTTATAGAATGTATCACTAAGCATAACACTGAATTATTAAGACATTAAATTTAAGAAGAACTCCACATCCACAAGTAGCAGGCTTCACTGCTCTTAGGAATACATCAATTTAGAATTTTCTAATCAGAAAGTTGATTATAATCACGCTGACAAAAGTTCAATTGGACATTTTCCTAATATTGACTAAAAGCTTTTTCCTACAATTCATGCATAAGCCACTGGAATTTTCTCACTAACACAGACAAAATTCAAATGTTCACACTAATGCAAGATTTCTAAAGCAAGACACTAATCTAGCATGTTAGTCTGTTGAGATAAATTAAACATGACACATGAAGTTCTGAATCATGGAAGAATTCATTTCACAGGATATATGGAGACTTACAGTTTCACATGTAAGACATCTGGTTTCATTAGTTAGTGTTCCCTGAAAGATTTCATGCACCCAGGTTGGGTCTGGTGGGGTGTTATTTTCACTGTCAATGTTGCCATTAGGTAGGCGACCATTTTGTTTCTCTTGTTTTCTTTCCTCTTGCAAGATATCAGCAATTGTATTTAACAGGTAGTTTAAGAACTCATGTGCATCCTGCTGCATGTAGTTATCAAAAAGCTCTACAAGGTAAAACAAGAAAAGATTTATCATTAATCGGTTAATGCTACGTTACAAAAAAGTTTTTAAAAGAAGCTGAATTCTAAAATCAGTCTTTATTTCACATCTTGAAACATTCATGACAACACAACACCAACCCAAAATGTGTACTTCATAAACTAAGTCAAAAACACTGGGGGTGGGAACAGAGAAGGACAAGCCAGCTTACATTCACAGAAATCTGATTTCTGACCACAGTTAATAGGAGTGAACCATTCTGCAAGAGAACTATGGCATGATTCAACTACCTAAACACAGGTGTACATGCAGCACTGATTTGCTGTGTTATAGCTCATCCTGTCCAGCCTCCAGATGCCAGTGCACAACCTGGATCTCTTACGGGGCCTGTGCTATCTCTGCTAAGCTTAGGTCAACATCTTCAACAGCACAGGCCATCTTAAATGGCATTAGATGTTGATATTGTCCAAAATTGAACTGAGAACTTATGATAGGGAAGGTTTCATCACCCATATGTTCTATCACAGGAAGAACATGAACAATAAATGCTCAAAACACCACTTTATTTATTTATTTTTGCTTTTAGGGTTTTAAGTCCACCACTGCTCTGTCATAAGCACAATGTCATAAACACTAGCAATGAAAATAAGTTTAAGACTAAAAATAGTAATGGCTTTAAGTTTTTTAGCAACTAATTTCTTTCTCAAAGCTCTTTAGTTAAGGCAATACTTGCAGAAGCTACAAGTCTCTTGAGGTAAAACACTTCAGAGGTTCTTCACAGCATTACATCACAGACATCTCAGGGCTATGTGCCCAGTTAGTAAATTAGCATTAAGTACAACAGAATGAAAGCTACTCATTGTTCATTTCATAATTAGAAAAAAATTTAAGCAAACATAACAGTATACCTTCAGCTGACTGCAGGTTGGCAGCTGCTTCCCAGCCAGTTAAGCTTTAAGGTTATTAATATATGTATGTTGTATTCAGACATTGAGAATAAAGATGGAATAGCAGTATTGTGGTCTGGAATACATTATGTTCTCAGTTATCACCCTGGTACAGCTGGATACTGTCTGGAACAGAATCTAGATCAGCGTTGCATATCTACCTGAGTCTTTAGCTCTTTTTTAAAGCTCAGAATTATATACCTTTACAATAATCACTTAATAGCATATGATGTCTGTGTAATCACTGCCTGACAATTTAGCCATTTATTTGTAGAAAAGGTGAGAGTATCGTCATTAAGCGACTCAAAAAGCCAACAACAGCTGCACTTTTACATCTGATTTCTCTAATGAAGATTTTCCAATTGCTGCCTTCTGCTTAGAATTGTAGTGTCCTGAAATAACTAAGCATTAAAAAGAACACATTCTAAAAAGAACTGAATGGCTCTTGTGGTTTACTTGCTGCTTTCAGTTTGAGCCATTCTCCACATTCGTGAGTTAGTCAACATTCACTGACATAATTAACTATTTCTGTAACGGCATCAAAATGCAAACACACTTACTCAAGTATACTTAGCAAAGAATTGAATGACAGTTTTCCATTCTGCATAGGTAGGAGATTGTACATTGTCCGAGAGGGGTTTCATGGTGTGAATTTGCTGGAGGGATCACTTCAAATTAGAAATTCCGGTCATCATAACATTTAAACACTTCTGTAGTCTTGGAGAGACTACAACAGTAGTTTCATAACATGTATTGCAGCAGTGTTAGATATGGTATCTCATACAGTTTCTTTAAACCTAGTAGTTATTTTTTAGAAAAAGCTTATGCTCTATTTTTATACAGGTGTATCCAAAATGAGTAGTAGACTACACAGTGTCATCTCTATTTTAACCTGGAATCATTTTCTAAAACATTTTGACCAATGAGTCCCGCAGATAAGAAACAAGGAATGATAAAAATATCTGGAAACTTCTTGAAATTTAGGATATCAATGACACACCAAAAAAAAGCACTAAAAATTAGTGATTTTAAAATTCATTAACCCTTTCAAAAGTAGCTCAAGCTATGTATTGCACAAATTCCAAATGAATTTAAAAATCTGTGGGTTTTTAAGCTAGATTTGTGCAGGGAAATCTTAACGTCCTTTCCACACACTCAGTTTGGGAGACTGATTCCTGCATCCGAAGATTAATGTTTTCTAAACACAGAAGTTTTACAGTGCATTTTTATTATAAAAATACAATGCATAGAGTTAAAATTAGCAGGCAATTTCATAAGCAGTCACCAAGAATACACTCAGTTCTACATGAGGAGAGACAGACAAGGATTCTCTCTCAAAACAGCTCCAGGGTTACACCCTTATCTGAGGGTCACCTGTTCTTTACACTGCAGCACCAACAATGCTTTCCACGTGTAACAAATACGTAGATATTCCACTATGTCACCTTCAGAATTAGATAATAATTTTTATGGTTATTACACAAGAAAAAGAAAAGTTACCATTTTCTTTTCGTAATCTTGTTATAAATTTCTTGGGAGGTATTACTCCAACTTTTTTCTTCTGGGTGGCTATACTGTGGAAGAGATCAGCTAAGCATGTAAGGAGATTTTCTTTTTTTCTTGGCTGACTCTTGTATGCTAAGACTTTGTCTCGAAATGGTCGACAAAAATAAAGTGCCTGAAGAACTGAATTGCAGTAGCATGTATTCCCAAACTACAAAACAAGAGAGAGATCTATTAGCTTGCATTGTATTAGTGTAGAAAGGTAAAATTAAATCCAAATTATAAGAGAATGCATAAGCAGGGGCAAATTTTCTGCAAGTCATTTCTTCTTGAGTTTCTGATAGTAAAGCATATTTCTGCTTCACAAAGGATTAGTAAGTACACTGTATGAAAATGCATGAAAAAAAATAGGCAAATTTGAGCAACACTATATAATTTTGTCTCACTGGAAAATTTAATTTATTATTAACATTTCTGCATTTACTTGAGTCAAAATATTCAAACACAACACAAATTTCACAGCTCCCAGAATATGCCCAGGTGAAAATATCTATCCATCTAGCACACAACAGGCACAGCATGACCCTGTATTGTGAAGAAATTCAGCTGTACATTGAGAGCTTCACAGACACTTCAGAAATTGGATTCTCCAAAACTTACTAGTTGTTATCAAAGTCAGAATAACGGCTTTAACCTGTTCCTACATTTTCAGTTCTTATTTTATGGTGACAGGATTGGCATACAGTTTTCTTAAAAGATTCCAACATGGCTTGTTTAGGATTCAAAGCTATGGTACAGGTGGTGGTTTCAAATTGAGACTGAGAGGAAAAGAATGCACTATTTGGACATGTGCATTTTAAAGGAGTCAAGCCACTGAATTAAAATGGGGTAGCTAGAAAAACATTCATAACTCCCTTCATAGCAGGGCACTCCAGATGCCCCTCTTCCCCAGGCTCCTTCCAGCTCTTCAGCACTTGAGTCTTGTGATCACCAGGATGGCCTCCAGCTCACCCCAACACTGCAAACCTCCCCATCAGCTTGGTGAAGGTGTCGTGAGCTGCTGGTGGATAGAGTCACTCTCATTTTATGCTGCCCTCCTCCAGTGAAACCTATTATCTAACACTGAAAGTGTGAGAAAATCTTTATAAAGCCCTCAGCAAGTAATCCAATCTTTCAGCTGCTGTCACTCAACCTGCAAATAACCTGCACATACAGACTACCCATATTCTTTACAAATGTGAAAATAGTATTCATATTTATGTTTTATATTAATAAAGTAGCATATATGGGTAGCAAATTCAGTGATTGTATTGCGATGGGGAAAATGCTAAAAAAAGAGTCCATTTAGAGACATTTTAAAAGCAGGTTCTTTTAATAAAGAAAAAGAATGAAAACCTATCACATCTCAGGGATAACAAGCAAGTAACTGGTTTTTGCCCTCTCCTGATTGAGACAATGACAAACAAGAGCACCATGCAATTTAATTACAAACCAGAAGGCAAATTTTTTTCCCTTTATTTTAAATTAATGAGATATGAAAAACTACTTCCTAAATATCCAAGATACACTGAAAGAATGACAAAGAAGTGTATTAAAAAAAAAAAAAAAAAAATTAAGAGGTCTTAAGACCTCCATTTTAAAAAGAAAATTAACAACCATTATTTTTATTTATTTAAGCTAGGACGCATGCCTATATCAGCTTCTTCATGGTCCAAATCTGCACTCATGTAGGTCACTGTACTTAAAAGGAAAAATCAGGACTTTTTTCCTTAAAGGAAGCAGATGAAATCACACAGCAGTTTACATCAAAATTTTTACTATATTAAGATAAGCATTTATGAGTTTAGAATTAGAAATAGCCATAAAAAGAGAACTACATTAAAAAGTTAAGAATGTTCTTAAAATTCAATAAAATGGGAAGAGTGCAGTAATTTCTACAGCAAGTGTCAAAGGTGAAAAGGCAGCAAAAAGAAATTTCCTAACATTCCAATTTTAAAAAGGAACAGTTTGACATGAGTTAATTAGAATGGCAAACGTGCAGTGAGAGATGACCGAATATGAAGCAACAGAGAACTCGAAACACTGAACAAAATTCAGATTAATTTAACATGAATATATGCTAACCTACAAGCCTGCTGGTAAGAAATAAAAGCAAGCAGATTAAGTTCAAAGGTTTTCTTCAACCAAATTCAGAAAGACGGTAGGCAACAGATTGTTTGAACACAAACTCCTGAGAAAATTTAATTAGTTCACATTTGGTTTAGTATATAAAACATGTTTTCGTTGCTTTGAAACCTAAAATCTTTTAAAAATAAAAGCTTCCAACCATGAAAAAAAAAAAATGGTACGTCTAATAAATAACAAGGGGAAAAAGGGGGGGAGGTTTCTAGATGAAGTAGGGAATTTGTTACACGAATGAATGCTGGTCTCACCATTACTATTACTTTAATTCCCATCTTTGACTCTAATATTAAAAGCACCCCCCTCATTTAGAAAACACCGAGACCTTGCTCCAGTTTCCCCACCCTCCCACCACCTACTGTACACCTATACTTCACTTTCTAATTCTGCTTCTTCAGCACTCAGCTCTCCTCTGCCATGGCCAACAGGCACCTTCCTCCTCCCCTGGGTTTACAGCTGGCACCGCCTCAGGAGCACAATGCCTGCAAGAAGATGTACTGCAAAATGAAATCCTTGTGAAGTCTGCCTCAGAATAATGGCAGAAAACTGTACAAATTACAGTCGTGTACTTTTGTATCTTAAACTGTCATCCTCTACAGGATACTGAAACTCCTCTACCTCATTCAGGGAAAGGTAATGTAGGAATATAGGGACTATACACAGCAGAGTTATTGTAATCTATGTTTTCAACTGGTTTATTGCTTGCTTCTTTATTTCTATGAACACCATCTTAAAATGTAGATATCTAAGAAAATAAACACATATTTTCTTTTTTTCAGTGCACACTGTTCTTCTGTTCTCAATTCTGAGAAACCAAATTATTTTCTTTCACAAAAATACTCCACTCTGTGTTTCACATGCATTTTTTTTTTTAAAACTTATTCTGAAATCAAAGTTACAACACACAAACCTGTGTAGAAATTAAAAAAAGAGACAATCTGTAAAGCTGCAACAAAAATACCACACACTCTAAGGCTTATAGTCTCATACTTTACTCTTCTGATGCAACAGACAACTGGAAGGCAACTTCAGTTTTGAACTCGACAGACCTACAAAAACCACCAGGAGATATCCAAGAACTTAGACCTGCTTAGAGCACTGCCTGTGTGCAGCCCTAGAGTTCCTCCCAGCTCCACTACATTGGCAGTTCTGAGAACTTTCATTTGTTGTAATGGGCCATGGCAATAAATAGAATTTCTCCAAAACCCACAGATCCACTGCGAGAAACTGAGTAACCAAACTCTAGAAGACTATTAAACTGCTGAAGAGCTACTAAAGTAGCTCTTAGGAGATCTAAAATGTCCATTATTTCACACTACTTGGATAAAATTATTTAATTCATGAAGCACATAGATCTGAATAGTTCACATTACTGCACTGTGGGGGGAAAGAATGACAGGCAGATTTGATGTTCCTAATTATGCATGTGCATTGGACAACATACTACTGAAATTTTCAACTTACCATATATCTTAAGTACTTCCTACTGATTTAGTGAATGGTATTGTCCTTTCGAGCCTAAGCTGAATTTTCCATTCAGAGCTTTCATTGATAGAATCAAACAGCCCTGCAACCATCTGTCTCCCATATGCTTCCCATAATTGCCCTTTCTTAATTCTTCTTTTACCCCTCAAACTGTTCTTTCAGCACATCCTCTGAATAATCCCTAGACTCTGTTGCAAAGCTGCAGAGAAGATTAAGCTAGTACTTCTACCTGCTCTTCCTTTATTCTACCTCTGGATAAATGTTATGTTTGCCACTGACAGATCTCTGTTTCAGAACTGTCATCTTTATCTAAAATCCTGTCCTGCATTCCAGACATCTCAAATGGATAGCTACTACACTCTCAGAAGAGAGCTATTGATTTCCACATTATCTCCATTTTTTCCATCATTCTGGAAAAAGGTAGGACAAACAAAACCAATAACTGAATTAGAAAAATTTAGCAGTTAATGCTAATGAACCTCTAATAGCTCCCCTTCCTGTAATTGCTATAAAACAATTAAGAGAAATCAAGGAAGGCAAAAATTGTGATTTCTATCACTTTTCAATCTAATAGTACTCTTAATTTATTATCTATTTATCTAATATTTCTTTTCATCATCAGTAGCTCTGCCATTCTTTCTGAATGGCCATTGGTGACAGTTTGCCAATGATGAGGACACGACCTTCCCTCCTCCTGGCACATTTAAATTCTGCAAGCTGAATTTAATGACTGAATTTCCTTTCCCAGCCACTGTACCTGAAAAACACAGCACCAGTTTGCCACAGATGGAATAGAATCCTATTTTACTATCTGTTACAATTCAAATAATTGTGATCCATAAAATTTTATTGCTTGAATCTAAAATAAGCTACATTCCTGTACTGCACAGAAAGTTAACAGCACTCTGAGGTATCACATGCATGGTTGAGCACAATGACTCAAAGACACATCTCCCCTCAAATTTCCTGTGCCCCACAGAAAGCCAGAATTTGTTGATATTCATTATATTTTAAAAAAGATTGTCTTTTATTGAAACTTTGCTTAAGGGTGCAAAATATGCAAAATTTCAAGATTAGGTGTACAATACAGTTTTACTGTTAAGTCTTAAATGCGCTCTGGACTTGGACAAGAAATTAGAAAACCAGTTTATCTGTGGACAGAATAACAGATAAGAACAACCCTGATAGCCTAAGCTCTGCTACAGAATTAACAAGCATTAAGAGTTAAACTGCCCTATTTACTGTTCAGGCAAACAATGTGTCATTTTGAAGGTATTTCAACTTTCATGAGAAAGGAAAAAAAAAAGCACTAATTTAAGCCAGCTTATCAGCAAAAGTGTTTACTGACTGTGCAGTGTGTATTTGAATTGCAGATTCTGGAACCATGACAGTGCTAAGAACCTAGAGGTGAAGCCATAAGTTGCAGTAGCAGGACAGCATTACAAGCAATTAGATTCATTAAGAAAAGCAAGATACTAGCACTTGTCAAATAAATCTGGCTAAAATAATTTAATCTTTCATTTCAAAATAATGGAATTTCTAGCACGATATACTTCTCATAGGTAATACCAGAAATTAAAATTTCAATTATTCCTTAAAACTGATTGATGATTGAATCGAACAATTCCTTTTTTTCCACCACTTTCCCTTTGTACTCGATATTTTAAAAAAAATCTTAATGCAAATAGCAGATACGAACACTTCATATAATCAAGTCTTTCACAGATTTTTTTTTCTATATTTATTCACTTAGACTGGCATATTATGGACTGTAAGCTATATATTTTAAGCAGCTTTTTTTTTTAAGACTTATACATTTTAATTGCAAGAAAGTGTTTTAAAAAATACCCTACAATTGATAAAATTAAGTATTCCAGAGACAGTCCAATTTCAACAATTATTTCAATAGCATATTTCAACAAATACACTGAATACTGAAAAACATTTCAATAAGTATGCATATTCAATGACTATATTTTTCAGTGTTTTCATTATTCATTCAGCTGCAGCCTTTTAATTTAACAAATCCACTTTGTTATTTCAAAGCAATGAAGTTACGGAGGGAAACTTACATTAACCAAACCAAAATAGTGCTCATTGACTGGAAATTGTTCTGGACCAATCTCTTTCTCCAAAGCTGAGGCATTGGCGCCCTAGAAAAATCAAAAGCAGTAAATTAGTGTTGCAACTACATACACTGTGAATTTAACTATTTGAGAATAGAAAAGGTAAATTTTGGGGAAGAATAAATGACCAAAAACAATCAAAAAAATCCCAGAAACCCCTGGTCACAACTATAGATCTTGCTAACACCATATCAGGATTTTCAAATCTTAGACCATAAGACCTTGAGGTTACTAAACAAACACACTGAAGCCCTCTCTAGTCGGGAGCAAGGAAAACAACAATAAATTAAAGAGTAAGTATTGAAAATGGATGAAACACCTTGTCTATACCCTAGAAGGGGTGAGAAAATGGAGTTTGTGACCCAGCTCAACAATCAAATGTTTCAAAATAAAATTTGTTTAGTTGGTCTATTGCTTAATGCAAAGACAAGCTTGTAGCCAGTATAATATTAGCTATGAATGCAGAAAAATCAGTCCTTTGAGTTCTCTTTTGATTTGCAATCTCAGAATGTTTGAACTGACCAAAAACCATTTGACACTGGTCTTAAAGCAGACAGCAAGTCTTCTGTGTCATACCTTAATGCTTACATGGTTATAATGAAGAACGTAACACCCTTCCACCACAACAGAATTATTCCAAAATAATCCAAAATACCTTAGAGATACACGTTTCCAAACCTGTTCTGTTCAAAAACATCTCAATGTGATATAATATTTGTGTATTTTCATGCAATTACACTGTTTAGATGTTCTGTATTTTTACTTTCAGAGTGCAGCCTCTTTACTGGCAATTGCATTAACATAGTGTTGGAAAGCAGGCGATACAAGGCCAAATGGTGAGCTCAAGCTCTTAACAAGTAACTTCCATTCTGCATAGCACATTTCAGAAAAAGCTAAGAAATGCAGATTGTTCACAGGAAGCAAAGAGACTGGTCTGTTCCACTTACACTGAAAACATAAAATGGTCATAGTGCTTTCCTAAATACCTGGGACTTTATGAAATTAAAAGACAACAGAGTAGAGCTACTGTTGCAGTGCATTACAAATGCTGCAGCCTTTGCCCAGCAGATCTGTTGCATCTGAGCCTCAAAAAGAAGTCAGAGAAGGTAACTTGGGTTAAACTGTGGTCGCAGATGATGACCGTTGACTGAACTGGTACAATAAACATTTAGTTTCAAATGAAAGAGCTTTTTTTGTACTTAAAGGCAGAAAAAAGCTATGCTCTGGAAAATTCAGAGCACAAAACAAACCAGCTTTCTATGAGTGACTACACTGATTGTTTTTAGAGAAAAGCAAATGTATCCAATTCTAAATCTCTTGTTGCATACAACACTACTGAAATACCTATCTATATATCTCCCCCCAATCAAAGTAATACATAAGCATGAATATTCCAGTCTCAAGTCAGCCCTAGTGAAGCTAAAATAACATATAGTATGGAGTAAAGAATCTTTAAACCAGACGCAGCTCCTTCGCAACAAGCTCTTCCTTTACATGAAAAATGTAGCAAATAGCCCTAGACATCACATCAATAAAATCAAACCAAAAATCACAAACTGCATCAAAACCAGCACAGAGGGTTTCACAGATTAAACAGGAGGAAGTGGGACAGAACTAAAATTAGAACTGTATCAAAATGGGTAAAAATAAAATGAAACTCTGTTATACGGCATCTGCCATGACGTGGTTGTGGTCCTGCAGGACTTAAACAGCAGCTACACAACCTCGCTTAGCAGTTCTGAAACTGGAAACACATGGTCAGAGGCCTACAGGAGGTAACACCTTTAACTAGAATAGAGCAGAAGGTCTGAGAGAGTACAGCTCTGCTCCATTCACAACACAGCCGCAACTGCTTCTTCATCAGTCATATCCCCTGCAATTAACCAGCAGGATAAAGCCTTTCCTTGCTGAGTATTTGGCTGCTGGGAGTACTACCTTAGAAGCTGTTCTCAAATATCAATATTGGTGGTAAGGACAAGGGGTATAAACCCTAATTTAAGATCAAAGCACTCCACAACTTCTGAATATTTAGTCTCGCAGTCTTACTGAAACGCAGCTGTGAGTTTTGGCAAGGAAGGTGGATATTATTTACAAAAAAACTAGAAAAAAAAAAGAAACTGTAGAGGCCTTTTTATCCTATTGTTAAAATCTCTACTTCTTTAAAAGTAAATAAATTCAAGAGCAAGCTTTTAGGAAATTCTTTCTTTTCAAAGCTAGGGTGGAGTAGCTTCTTTATTCTCTCTTTGGAAGGAAGAGTATTATGGTATAAGCTTTGATGTTTCTGTTTTGTGCAGACCTGAACACTGTATTTAGTTTTCTAGCACAATAAAGATCCTGACTTGGCAATAAGAAAGACATGGCAAGATACTCCAATATTGTTATGGTTCTCCAATTATTCAAGGCTGTTTCATTCAAGGCTTAGACTTTCACACGATTTCAAAGCACAGCACTACCTATGAATGCAGTTGTTTATGAATGTTTTATTACTACAAACCAGCATGGATGTTTTACAGCAGTGTAAAAACCCTCAAGCTACTTAGACTTCCCTCTAGAGCTCTCTTTTTGTCTGTCATAAAGGATGTTATTCCTCCTTCCAAAGTAATCATTTATACTGTGTTTTGTGTTGGCTGCGAAGTGCGAAAATGTATGCAGCAGGGGCTTGAAACAGTACACTAAAATGAAAGTTCACATCTGACCTAAAAATGCTGTTTTAAAACTGAACCATCCCTTGCTGCAAACCATTTCCCATCCATTACTACAGCACATACTTATCAGTTCCACTTGACTCTTCCATTATTTAAATACAGATACAGAGGGGTAGCACTGTGACACCACCAACTATGATGGTACCATATCACCTTTTGGACAAGCAGAGGTTTAAGGCAGAAGTTGAGTCCATCACTTTCCACCAGCCAAGATGGACTTGCCAGGCTTGGGATCTAGACTTGAGAGATTTCAGTCTGCGATGTATGCTGCAGAACCTAGAATTTCTTCCTCTGCCACTTAACTGAGGTGTAGAAACATCCCAAAATTAACCTCTCTTTTTTGAGGACTCACTGAACAATCCACACAGTGTGTGCTCACTCCACACACAGCAACCTGGTGTTGACATTATGCAGGGGACAGAAAGGAACATCAGCAGCTTCAGCTAGTACACCCACCTGCAGTTTCTCTGAGAAGAAGTACACAAGGTCATTTACCCAGAAGCCGAAAGGAACAGAGGCACAACAGAAACCCAAAAAAAAGCTAATACTGCAATAGTACTGGCATTTACCAGTTTTTGGATCATATCAGTAAAGAAACTCTAAGTCACCAAACACTGCCTTCCGTTAGCCCCCCGCAGCCCAGAGAAGCATGCTGCACACAGAGCGCACCCTCGGCACGGGAACACCCGGCTTGACACGGCGGGAGGGTCAGCAACTAAGCTGTGCACACACAACATGAAAATAACACTCACTTTGTTACTGAAAATGATTCTGGAACAATGATCAAGTACCAATGATTGTAAAAGAGTGTCCTTACATTTAATGAAAGTTAGATGTAAAGCTGAACTACTGCACACTTCATCCTGTGTTTTAACTTCAAACTGATATGAGATAAATGTTAGTTTAACCATGTTCAAATCAGCTGAACATTTATTGCTTACCTCCTCCCTCAAGTGACAGAAAAAGGCTATATTATTGGATTTATCAAAGACCTTCTTAGATGCTAATTTCTTAATGAAGGAATAAGAATCCATGTTTACTGTGGAAGACCATTAATTAAGTTTTTCAAAAGAACTTGAGGTTTCCATAAATTAACATATTTAACACTAACCAAATGACTATTTTATTTCAGTTTAGTGGAATCAAAGCCCAGAAAACATAGTGGGAAAAGACTGTGCAGTACCTTTTAATTAAGTAGAGTTAAATTTTCCTAATGTTCAAGTTTTCCTAACGTTGAAGATATTCATTCTCCCGAAGCTCTAAAATAAACCAAAAAATCCCTGATATTACACATTTCAATGGAAAAGGGGAGAAAAAATACCAAGTGCAGACATATGGAGGGGAGGTTTGTTTAGTTTTTCACCTGCTAGAGTAACAATACTATTAAATGCCATTTCTGCTTTTATTTCTGCCTGTTCTCAGAGGGCACACTACTGTGGTGCTACATGTTGAACTAGCACTCCTGAGACTCACTAACAGCTGACATATGGAACTAACTGGAGCTGATCTGTAAAGCAAATCATTCGGTGCTCGGGATCCGCTACACACATTCTGTGCTTCAGAGGGCCTTTGCCAGCATAGTTCTAGGCTGGCTCTGTGGCTGAACACCCAGTTGCAGTAGAAATACGTTGCTTGATTTAGGTTCCCCCAAAAGGAATCTATTTTGTGCACTCTTAGACCACTCCATGATGCAAACTGAAGTGTGTGGTAAACTGGGGAGACTTAGAATTGCACACACATTACCTGAACTAAAACACTAACAAAAATGCACATGGCACTTTGCCTAAAATAAAAAAAGGAAAGGCCGCCCTATATTTAAAATACTGTCTAAAAACATGTCAGCAAGCAGGCAAGCAATTGCTGTTTTAAAGTGCCTTACCCTGTTGTTACCGTTGAGCCTGGCAGGCATCATTTCTCTTACAAAAGCTTGATCCATAACCAGCCTAACATGCTTTGAAGATCACACTGGTGTTAGTCATATTGGGGTAGGACTGGGGGGTTTCATCTATCCCTTTCAAGAATAAATTTCAGTTGATAACTTGATGGGTCATCTTTTCATAAGTTTGCTGTAACAGCTTTATCCTCTAGCTTTACTGAGTTGCAAATTTCCTGAGTAAACCCAAAAATTTCACCTTGAAAAGAAATGTCTTATCTCAAAACTTATATTTGTTGTCAAAATCCTGAAGATCATTTCTCCCTTCACACATGCACTATGCTAGATCCTTTCCTACAATGGCCTCCACCTACCTCAAGAAGCAAGAAACAATGGAGACAGGAGACTTACATAACTGAACCATGTTGCACGGGTATAGGTAGGCCAAATTTTTTTAAACATGACCTTAGCTGTAGGTAAATGAACAACAGCAAAGATCAAAACTATTACTTTCAAAGCCTTTTTAGTTAGAGGTTGAATTACACTGAGAGACAAGATAGGAAGTCTGGGAGATGTGCATCTGATGGCGACCTTAGAAATCTTTCACAGCCTAAAAAGTACACACAGTTATAGGCATTAGTCTTTTAGAAAAACCAGACTTACCTAATTACCAAAAATATAGGGGAGGGGGGGTGGAAGGACACACACGGCAAGAACGCATTTGCTCAACTGCTTTTGCTGATAAGCTGCATGCTGTGGTGTGTTTCACATGCTTCTTAAACCCACATAATTCCCATTTCATAAACCCAAGTATGTTGCTTTTATCATTTCCCATTTTCATGGAATTGTGAAAAGAATGTGAGTTTATGAAAACTGTAAAAATGTTCTCCAGTTTTGCTCTACTTACATTAATACACCACTCTGGTTCTACACCAAAAAGATCTAGGTATTTTTTTCCTCAACTGAAATTTCAGACAGACTTTATTGAAATTAAAAATAAATAAATAAAAACCATTTGACTTCAGCAAACTTCCTAAGCTAGGAAAACAAAAGTTAGCCCCTATACACTCTTATGCACCTCTTTCCTTCAAGAGATTTGAAAGCAAGAAGTAGGTAATAGGTAATACCAAGTAACAGATGGACATCCTTTTCCCACATTTTTACAGTATCATTCCTAGAAGATTTAATGCAAATTAGTTGCTTTACTAGTTTAAAAAGTAAACACAAAGCCTGCATAAATAATCAAACTAATTATTCAAGCTTTGTCTAGTAATAGGATCAGTTATTCCCACTGATGGAGCTACAAATTCTGTCAGCAAGACCAGAGTTCATTTTTTCTTTGTCCTTAGAACCTGCAAGATAAATAATGTATATATACAGGTAAAACCAAAAAGGAACATTTATATTACTGAAGTTATTCCAATTAAGTAATATGCCAACGAAATTCTCTCTGCTAGTATAAGTATTGCTTTACAGCTACACAAATTCAAAAATTTTTTCCTCATGTCTCGTATTTGACATTTATTTTATATTCATTTAGAATTTATAACTCGTATTCTTATGCAATTTTTTTAATAGTCTAATCAGTACACTAAGTGTCACAAAGCAAATATTTTAAAGAGCAATGTACAGACTCATCTTTTATAACCATACTGTAGCATGTTGCATCTACAAAAATGATTACGACAAATGCCACAATCATGCCTGAGTCTTAGTGTCATATTTATTGTGAAACATTCTCCCAGGAAGAACTCCAACAGATGAGCGAACCTCCCTGCTGCGGTTTAAGCAGTTACCCCAACTGTCTAGCAAATACTTCTCCAAAATTTGATGTGCTTGCAACAGAACCACCACATCAGAACACGTGCCTCAACACACCAGTTCGCCAGTGAAGGTGGATTCCGGTCACGGTGCCAGAGTGGAATGCAGTGGTGGCTGAGACACAGCACATGCTCCTTCTTGCCAACCCTGCTCATAAGCAAGCCAGGCAGCTGGATACAGGAATACTCTTAACATTGCCATCTTCTCTCTGCTCCTTTAGGTCTCTCCTCCTCTCCTTTCTTTCCTCTAGTCTCCTCACTTTGAAGCTATTTTCTGCACAATTTCTCTTTCCTTGCCGTAACTCTCAACTCTGTACTCTTTCCCGTGGAATCTGTTAACCTGATCATCAATTAACATTTAAGTATTGTAATCTGTGTGTCAGGAGACAGTGCAATTAGGAGGAACAGGAGTGAGTACATCGTGGCCATTTCTGGCTGACTGCAAACTCTGGCAAACATCAATTTACATTAAGTGCAGATTTCACAATCAGGTTCGAAAAGCCTATTGTAAACAAGTAATTCCTTAAGCAGTAATTAAGTTAATATATGTATACCCACCTCACGGTTAGTTATACAAGTTTTCTGCAATTAAGTGCTTTCATAAAGCCTGTCTGCAACAATACCCTAGGTAGGTACGCTGCAGCCTTTCCTCAGCTGGGCACTTCCAGGGTCTGTTCCCTCTACACAGACTTTTCTCCCCCACATGCTTGTTTGAACTTAAGTACCTCTGAGACCTCTTCACTGTTGTCAGATGTGGTATCACAGGAAAAAGACAATAGCCAGCCCTTCAGTGTGACTCCACAAGTCTTACTTCTTTCAAAAACAAAACAAAAATTTGGATTCTAAGTTATGCACAAACTTGTACTGCAGAAGACAGTTACAGCATGCAATTAGGAGGTAGCTACAAGTTACATATTTGATGTCAGTGCTGGGGGTCTCAGTTGATCACTGAAGACATTCAGCAACACTGACCCCATATATAATATGCTAAAATGGCAGAGAAGGGGATGCATAGATAATTATCTGAAACATGAAAAAAGGTTTTCATGTCTAATACTACAGCTTCTAGATTAGCATAATTTTTAAATGTCGTCAAACTTTTGCAGGTTGTGTAACATAATCAACCAGTTTCTAGAAGAAACACTGAAAAACAAGTACTATTACCATTAGAACTTCTTTCTGTTTGTCTGATACTGGCACCTTAGCTTCTTCTAGCTTTTAAGCTACAGAGACAAATTTCTATTTTCTCTTTGCTTCAGGTATCCTAAGATTTTATATCTTTCAACTGCTAGCAAGTGTTTGCTGGATTCTAGACAACAGAAGCAAAAGTCATAAGTGCTAGATTCAATCTCTAGTTCATGGTGAGCATAGCCTGGGGCGTACCTTCACTGCAGCTAGCGTGGGTTACCTTACCACTTCTCAGGCATCCAGAAAAAAACCATACGATTCAGTCAGGTAAGACCTTGTCTGCAGCTTAATGCATGGACGAAGGTAAAAGACTAAGGTCTACTTTTAGTTAGTGTTTTTACAGTAAAAAGCACACCAAAAAGAAACAAAACACAAACGCACATTTCCCCTCCTTCTCCCACCTGCCCCCCCCCCCAAATAAAAAAACCAACACAAATAAAACCACCACGTTTTCAAACTCACCCATTTTACAGAAAGAACAGTAGCTAACCATTCAAGGACAAAGGTATTTTTTCAGTGCTTTTCCACAATCTCCTGACTTGTAATTAAGACTTACTACAGCAAAAGGAACCACAGGGGTGGTGATGTAGCACAAAGAAGTCCAAGGAAGCTCAAAGGGGATACAACACTAGGAGCAAGTACTCCAGGAAAGGCTCAGCCATCACTGGTATCAACAGTGGAGTATAGATTAATGGGCTAATGAAGCAAACCTTTGTAGACAGAAGGGGCTCTTGTAAGATCATCTCAAAAAGCACTGCGATTAAACTGAAGATACTGAATATCACTCTTCATTGTACCCACACACCCAACCAGTATTGTAAACCATAATGTATTGCTTCCTAATATTCAGAGCTTGAGCAATGATAAAATGCATAAAATATAAGAAAGTCAGCAGAAGTGAAGCTTTGGATTCAAAAAAGGAAGTCGTGAAATGCAGGAGTGTGATAAAAGAGCTTCTTCAACACAATCCTAGACTGCTCTGTTGCAGATTCTAAGCGCACGTGCATGGCAGGTCTGCGTGTGCACAAACTGCCTCTTGCCAGAAACTGCCAGCTACTGGTTTTGTACTAACCAAACCCGGGAGGAGAAGCAACACCCTCACAGTGCTTGTAAAAGTCACGGGCAAAGGCAAGAAAAACTTGCAAGTTTTTAGGAAATTGTCTGGCAGTTTATCTAACAACCAGTGTGTTGACACAAAGAAGAAATGCCAGGTAAAAAAAAAAAAAGAGTATTAGTCAGCAACTGCACTCCTTTTTAGTTTTGCAAAACATATGCTTAAACATGAGTGTATGACCCTTGTTACAACTTAAAAAATCTGCCTGACCACAACCACATTGTTCTGAACAACTCCACAGTAAATAAGAAGTGCTTCTTCATTCTGTCTTTACTGAAGTATTTTTAAGCACAATCCTGTATTATCTACCAAGTGTTAGTATCCTATGCTAGCTGACTCATCTCACAGCGCTGTTAAAGCTCACGCATCAGAAAGGCACAGGAAAAATCTTATGCTTGGAATTTATCCACCTCAGTGCCCACGATTATGATTGGACTGATAATACCTAACTGCCATCAGAATTTCATCTTCATGGATATACACTTTAGTTTTTCCCTAAGAAGATTTCTTGCTGAAAAAATTGGCTGGGGATTGACCCAAATGTCAATGGCATAACATCAATGACATAATGTCTTTTCTCATAATCATACATACAGAATAATCTTAAACTACCTGCCTGGCCAGCCCAGACCTACAACTCCTGGGCTGTTGAGGAGCAGAAATGCGAGGTCCCATACAGGATTTACATCAAGTGGCCAGGGCAGAATTTATGTTGACAAAAAGGTCTACTGGGGATGAAAAAAGGTTAGCTAGAATTGCAAGAAAAAGCAAGATCCTAGCTCAAGGATCAATCATACTGACTCCTCAACAGTCTAACCTAAAATCTAACTACTTCAGAGAATGAAAACTCCTGGAGTATATAGTATTAATGTCCTAGAGCATTTAGTCATATAAAGATGTTGCCATACAGCTCATGAATTCGTGAAGTCAGGCCCTCCAAGTCCAAACAAAAAGATGTACTCTCCTGTATCCCCAAACACATTACTCCAGCTTATCAACAACCACTGGAGCAATCTCACCCCATAGGCTTACAGGCAATAATGCAAAATTCTTCATGGGCCACCTCTGAAATGTGTTTGAAATGTTAAAGCTTCTTAGCAGCAAGATTTATAAAACCAACAGCTCAGTTCCTAATGACATACAACGTAAGCATCTCCCACTGTTTGGCACTATGAGGCAATACGATCCAAATTCAACAAATTAACAGACTAGACAAGAACGTGCACATTTTCCCCTAGCAATCTCTCCCCTTACCCTGTAGAAACAGATTTGAACAAGAACTTTCATTTGGCCATGGTATAGGTAGAAAAGAGTACAAATGCAAGATCTTCAGCTGTGGATCATCAAATAAGTTCATTGATGTGAACTATCAAAGTCAGTAACTTCTACTGACTAAGGGATATGTCTTTCCTTAAATCCAGCATTCCTCCACCGGTGAACCTACTGAGCTTCCTAGCCCTCTTTAAAAAAAAAACCGAGAGAGCCTTATCACATCTACGTATCTGCTTACAGCTCTAATTTATCAAGAGAGAGTAATGAAAAAACAATTACTGGAAGAAGCCTCCCATCAGACGACCTGGATCGATGCAAACAAGTCAAATTACACGCCAACGCGTGGAGGGTGCTTGGCTGAGCAGATCACGCGGGATGCCGCCACTTTTCCGGGTGCCCCGAGGAGCAC